CATGCGCTTCTGGGACACTCATATGGAGCTATGACATCATTGACAACATCTGTGCGTTTCTTCCTCCGCTAACTGTGAGCATCTGCTGTGAAAAGGTTGATTAAACATGGCATGGGAACAAATGTAAAATACCTGTGGTGATGGACTGCTGGCGAAGAACTTAATAAACTATTAGTTTTGTATGTTCGGTATATATACACACACAGATTATATGACTGAATCTGCAGAATCGTTATGACAAGACTGAAATAATGACCAAGTTAACCCTGAGTTGTTTTGAAACTGACTTGAAAGGATTGTGAACAGTTTGTGTTTGGTTGGTTTATACAAGATGATAGATATAGTATGTATTTCTTATATTGCAAAGCTTTGCTTACATTATGTGACTACAGTTTCAAAGCCAGTTTTATGACTATAAAGACAGAGTGTCCTGGTTTAACGGCCAAAAAGAGCTTTGAACTGTGAACAGATGCTGGAAATTTAAATATAACTTTTGTTCAATTAATAAAAAGAGTACTGAAATAATGCACAGCAAAAACAGGAGTGTTAAAATTTCAGTGTTAAACTTTTGGGTGTTGCTTTAACACCCCCTAGTGTTATTTTAACACTTTCTGAGTACACTCACACCCAGTGTTGGTGTTAATTCACAGTGTTGATTTCCTCAGTGTTGTCTCAACACTGGACAGTGTTAAATAAGCTCCGCCCACAGCTAAGTCTTATATAACACTTAACAGTGTAGCTGTATAACACCATGCAGTGTTGAAAGAAGTTTTCTGAAAAGCCCCGCCCTCTTCCACCTCATGTCAGACAGACCAGCATTTATCCAGCATTCCTTGCTGAGAAATCTTGTAGAAATGATGTTTTTGCATGTTTCTGACCATTAAAGACGTTCATGAGAGTAAAAATTTCTTGTTCTGGTTRGTTTTCTTGTTCAGTTTGATCAAGTTGTTCAACTTTAAGTTTGTGTTTTGGCCAAAAATCCACACCATGAGTGAGAGGAATGTCCTGGTGTGTCAAGAGTGAGACTCCATTATACTTTTCTACGAACTACTGAGTAAAGAGTTTGATATTAACTGTGAGTGTTAAATTTACACTCCCAGTTTGATGGTGTATTAACATCTTGTGGTGCATGTTAACCTTTCAAACACCACAATTTCTTTTGCTAATAATAACACACTGGTGATACTTTTAACACTTAATTTTAACACTGTCCAAATGTTAATATGACACCCAGTATTGTTGAATATTTAACACTGGCTGGTGTTACTGTTAACACTAAACTTTAACACTAACACTATTTTTATTTTAATGTGACACCAAGATATTTTGAATATTAAACACTGGTTGGTRTTAAATTAACAAAAAAATGAGTGTTAAAATTTAACACTTTCACAAATGTTAGTTTAACACCAGCGAGTGTGGACACATATAGACACTTTGCTGGTGTTAAAATAAACACTGTGGGTGTTAAATTAACACTGACATTTCTGCTGTGTGTATTTGCTAGTTTGAAAACAATAATCAAAATAGTAATATAAATTAATACAAATATTAAGGAACCTCATTAATTCTCACATATTTTACAAACCTACAATACATTACTGTGACCAAATTATTTCATGAACCATTGGACTAAAAGAACTGAAACTTGCAGACAGCTAAATTCCATGTACCTCTTCAACTGATTGTTTAAATTTAGCCTGATTAAAGGTGACCACTACAGAGAAGTGGCCTTAAAAAACATAAAACAGCTACAACTCAATCACTTTTACAAATGTCTTAAAATTTGTTGCGCTAGAAATTGAGAGTGATCAACAACATGAGTGTCAACAGATTGTTTTGTATTTTTGTCTAAAAGTAAGCAGTTTACCATTTGAAGTCAGTATTTGTCTGTTAGCAAAATATCTCATGCCAAGTATGAACACCTCCAAAGCACCGTCACCAGCTTTGGAGGTGTTCATACTTGGCGCTTACGTTATTGCTAGTATTCTCCAAAAGGACATGTAGCAGTACACTTTATAACTTGTGAAATTTTGTAAATAGGAAAGTAAAAGCTTGACAGTTTGAATGGTGCATGGTGCACACAGCCTCTAGTATTCAGAGGTGCACAACCACACACCGGGACACCGTGTGGGGCCAACGGTTGCGTCATTATTGGCACGCGCACCCAGCCGTGTTCAGTGTGTCACCAGGCTACTGTCACTGGGATGCAAAAGAACCTTTTGTGGTTCGTTCTCAAATTTRTAAAGGATAAAGCAGCCTCAAGCACTCCAGCCTCATCTGTGCCATGTGAGCGGCTGTTTTCTACTGCTGGAGAAGTTCTATCAAAAAAGCGTAACAGACCCAAATTCAAAATATTGGAAAAAACTTTTTTTTTTTTAATTTGCAGATCCCAGTCCACAAGCATCCTCAATCACAACACTCAGATTTTCAGGTTATGACACATGTTCACATTATTTATGGACTGTATCTAATATCAGAAATATGTAAAGAATTTACAATAACTTAAAGTACATTATCGTATATCATCAAATCAGTGCCTGCCACTGGTCTGTAAATCTAGGTTGCCTGTAAGGTTTTTTACGATCCAGTGGGTGTCAGTATTCAGTGACACAGTAGTTTGGCTCTGTGTGTGTAAACGCTTCAAAATGTCCCATCTAAATTTCTATCATTTTCACAATGACTTTATTTTGTACTGCAATTCTCTTAAAGTGATGCACACTAAACATGCCCACAATCTGTGCTCTTTAATTGAAGAGTATGATTTAACATCTAAACCCTAGCCTTTTTTTGTTCTTGTTGTTCCTTCTTATTTTTAAACTTCTTATCTTTATTTTCACCCATCATTTTCTCTTTTATGCAAGTTTGTTTGTTTGTTTGAAATACGCCTTATTGTTTGTACATTGTATTATTTTGTGTGTTCTTTGTTGTTTAATAAAAAACAAAAAACAAACAAAAAAAAAGTCCCATCTACCATCACTAACTAGTCAGAACACCTTGGCGACCGGTCCAGGTCCACCCCTGGATGGCTGACCACTTGAAAAAATAAAAACACGCACTACGCACGTTTACTACAGCTATCTTTGTAGGACATTGCCAGGTCCCAAGCATAAATGCGTTTCTCCTTGTGGATTTTATCACTGACTTTGCCTAATTTTAAATGGAATATTGAATATATCCACTAATAACAAGACATATAGCCCTTGCATGGCAGTGTTTCGCTTCTTTACTGACTCGGCATTGTTGAATTTCCCACACGCRGGAATGCATCATATGATCTGATCAGCTGATAAAAAAGGTGCCGCCTCTTGATGACGCACATCTCCTGCTACGGTACGCCATTTGTATCTAGCATCCAAAAAGCGCGCACTGTGGAATTAGTCACATAACTATAGGTAAGTTCATTTAATTTCCTATGATATTAGCAAATTAAGCCTCCATTTGCGTTTGCATGAACGATATTAAATTATAAAGCAAGTTGTCAGGTACCGTTTTGCCAATAAAGATCACTATTTTAGAGGTCGACGTTAGCTTCCTTTTTGGGCCTCTGTGCTGCCGTCGTTTTTCCAGGCATTGAAGCCGTTTAGACCCGCCTTTACTTCGTCGTGATTGGCTTTCACAGTTACTGGTGCAATTTAATTGGACGACCAGCGCGTACGTCAAATTACTGTGCGAGACGATGTTGCTAGTTAGCAAATTAGCAGTGCTGTTCAGTTGCATTAGCACATATGGAAATGATTCTGGACGAAGCGTAATATATTTACATCACGAGCGAAGGGTTTTGTAGACTATCTAAGGGATGCTTTTCATTGTCGCTGCAGAACGTGGTTTTAAAGTTATTTGGCTAACTTTATTTATACTTTCCTAGCAGTTGACATGATGACGAAGTTCATCAGACAGTAAAATGATGACGAGCAAGTTATGAGTAAAGTAAAGCCCTTCACAGTCTCAGGTTGGATAAAGCGTCTGTTTGACAGATTTTCACCGTCTTATTTGACATCAGTGCTTCCAAATCCAGGAAACTTTACATCACTGAAAGCTGGAATAGAAAACTAACAACACAACAACATTCAAATGTAAAATGCAACCCAAATCAAATAGTAGCAGGCAAATACAAAAACAGCCTAAACCAAACTAGGACAGACGTGTTTACAGGGAGCACTACATATTGATAGACCCCCATTAAGCTTGATAAAGTAGGGGTTAATATCAATAAATGAATATTTTGGTAAACAAACATTAAGATTTAGTGGAAAAACAACAAAGAGGATTTTGTTGCTTTTACACCTGGAGATAAATGCGTTAATGGAACACAAATTTTTTGGATCTGCATGAGACAATTAGGTCTTTGTATGTTTAATGTCCAGCTTATACGTCCTTTAGTATCAGTCTGTCCATCCTTGAGTCCATGTTTAATAATAAACTGATAGAAGCAACAGATTCATAGAGACAAAGAAAAAGAAGCCAGGTGTAGCTAATATATATATATATATATATATAAAACAAAAATAATAAAAAACATGGACATTGATTATTTTATCTATAAAGAATCTGAACAGCTGTTATCAGGGCAGGCGCTTTTTTAATATCAGGATTTTATGTGTAAAAAACAAAAAATGTTCATGACATATTTTACCAATATTGAACACTTAACTATGGAAGCCGAGAGCTGTTGTTTTCTGCATATAATTATTTTCCATGATCTGATAACGACATAATGTCGTTATCTTGAGAAGACGAGGACCATTTTCTCGAGATGACGAGTTAATTTCTCGATGGTTTTCCTCTTTCCTCATTCAGTAACCATGGAGACGGCCTGGTCCCCTCAGCTGGTCATCGATGAAGTTTACTATTTATTTGATTACTTGTTTTTATTTACCATTATCTAACCAGGCAAATCCCATTGAGATCACATATCTCTTTTGCAAGGGCAGTCTGGGCCTGAAGGCAACCTAGTGTTCATCATTTTGTGTCTTTTTTGTATCATTACACAGGCTGAAATAATGATGTGTTTGTTTGTACAGATAACTTTCATTTCAGCCCTCGTCCTTTAAGGAGACTGCTGGCCCGACTGGAGATCAGCAGGCATTTGCACAGTGATCCTGCTGATATAATAAAATTTATCGATGACCAGGTGAGGGGATGGAGCCATCTCCATGGTTACTGAATGATGCACAAAAAAACTTTAAAATTAACTTATTGCGCTAAAACGCTCCTTGTTATTGTGTGATAACGACATAATATACCGTTATCACAAATAAACCATGAAGAAAATCATATAATAATAATAATAATAACAATAATGCGTTAGTCTTATATAGCACTTTTCGAGAGCCTCAAAGATGCTTTACAATTTTTCATGCATCATTCTTTCACACACTGATGGTAGTAAGCTACACTGTAGCCACAGCTGCCCTGGGCCAGACTGACAGAGGCAGGGCTGCCATACTGCGCCACCGGCCCCTCTGACCACCATCAGTAGGCAAGGCAGGTGAAGTGTATTGCCCAAGGACACAACAACTGAAACGGCCGGACCGGGGATCGAACCGGTGACCTTCCGGTTCCAGGACGACTCCCCTAACCACTGCCYACAGCCTCCCATAATATATGCAGAAAACGGCTTCTCTGTACTTATGTTCTTCACTGATGACCAATAATAACATGTATTATGCGAAATGTGTCTAATTGGGCCTTAGGCTGTCCTCAGAATGTATGACAAGGACCAGGCAGAGAAAACCACAGTGACTTTAGAATGGTAACAGCGGTATGAAGGAATGAATCAAACACATTAATTTGTTAAAAAATTTAAAAAAAAAAAAAACCAAACAAACATGATTATATTTTTGGTCTGTAATGTAGTAATCCATCCAGTTTCCTTTTAATTCTACAGGGGCTCAAAAACCCTGCAGTTACACTTAAAACTGAAGCTTCAAACATTGGAATAAAACTAATTTGTATTTACTCAGTTTTACTTTATTTTATGAGTATAGGTGAAAAATATAAATTTTCTGGGTGTTCATCACGTCCATTTTCACCATCTGTCACAAAAGCTGAAATTATTGCAGCTCTGAAAGACAATCAGTAATAAAAACAAAACAATACTTTTATACCTATAAAAGTATTGTTTAAATGACTGAACTGAAACTGTTCATTGTTGGTTTAAAAAACATTTATAAGTACTTTATTAATTGTTTATATATACTGTCACTAGATGGCGACTTTTACATTCTCTTTGCCACAATTTTTCACAAGGGGTGGCACAGTACAGCAAACAAACAATCACATCTAAAACGACAAAAGTGACACAATTTACTTTTTTGTTTTTTAGGCCTTTGATCCAGTCTTGATGATACTCATCCACTTCAGTTTTGTGAGGAGTCATATTGGGATATGATATGGATAAAACATTAACAGAAGAGGAGGTTGTTGGGAACCAAGTGCCTGAAAATGACTCTGTGGCGATGCAGCCAGATGATGAGGCGATGGAAGAAATCACAGGAGTCCCACCGAGTACAGCTGCTGAAGCTGATCAGTCAGAGAAGCAGCTCCCTGAGAGGCCATTGTCAGACTCTGCACTTGAAGGGGAGGATAACAGGTGCACYGTTTGTGGCTTCTCAGCCAAGCAACCCAGATCACTAAAAATTCACTATGCACGAAAGCATGGAAAAAACAACAATAAAACAACAAAACCTCATGAGAAAAATCAAAATGTCCAAGGCCAGAGGCTTGCTGAAGGCCGACAGGAGGCGGCCATGAAGACAGAAAAATGTGGTGATGGCAAGCGAAACAAGATGCAAGATCCTAATGAACTGAAAGAAGCAACAAATAATGCTGTCGGTAATTCAAACAAAAAGCAAAAAATATCTGACCAACATGAGACGGATCAGGACGAGCCAGTCTTTTTCAAGGAGAGAAGAGTGAGCAAACGAACCCCCAAACCCAATATTATTTATTCCTGCTACTACTGTGGACAAGAGTTCAGGGACAAGTCTCCTCTGGATGTTCATGTGAAGCAATATCATGCCAAAGATCTTCCACTTACATGTGAGTACTTAATTTTTTTATTTTATTTCATTACTTTTTTGTCAGTAATATCTTAAGTTAGCATAATTAACATTTTTATTTTAAACGGCTGATTAAAATCCTTTTAATCTTAATTATGTTCTGTTAGTTTCACTAAATAATTAAAGAAAGGACTCAGTGATTGACAGGTAGGAGACATTCTGGAGCAATCTTAACACAGCTTTACTCGGTATATAGACCAGGGGTTCTTAACCTTTTTGACCTCGGGGCCAAATTTGTTCTACATAAAACGACACGAGGCCCAGTCACACACATTACCATACGGATCAAAATCATAATTATTCTAAATCTTGGTTTAAAAATATAGTTATTTTGAATCTTGGTTCAATTTGTATTGTATTTACATTAAAACTAAATAAAATACACTTACAGTTTAAAAGTAAAACTCCTGTCAAATAAT